ATGAATGAAGACTGCAAAGGCTGAAAAATCCTGAAGTCTGTATGAAATTAGAGGTTACATGAGAATTTTATTTTTTATTCAGGGTGGGGTCGTATTATACATGAGATCATATTACACACAAATAAATTTGGTAGTCTTTATTTTATTTTAATTTACTGTATTTAACCGACACTCAAACATGTGCAATATACCATGCTGTACACATTTTCCTAAAATATTTTTTATACAATGTTTACATGTAAATTACGGTTATAAGTGTGCTCATTTTGTAATCCTGGATGCTTATACTTATTTTATTCTACTGTGTTTATTTCTTTCTTTTCACATTTCTCTGATCTGAACGGTTGCAACGGTAATTTCCCTTGGAGATCAATAAAGTATTCTGATTCTGAAATAATCATCTTCCAACCCGCTCTGCTTCTAGAAATAAGTTCTCCCATCTTAATTTCCTCCTGCTTTGATTCAGGTGACGTCATCTCTGCCAACAGTCCCCCCCAACCCCCNCCCCCACCCCCAGCGTGTTATTTAATATGGATTTATTGCAAAAATTATGAACCTTTGAGGCTCATTATACAGGTAAACATCCGAACGGGTTGACACGTATGAATAAGTATTTGATCTCTCTGGCAAACAGTACTTGGTGGCAAAACCGTTGTTGGGAAGCACAGCAGTCGGACCTTTTTTGTAGTTGATGAGGTTTGCACACATCAGGAGGAATTTTGGTCCACTCCTCTTTGCAGATCATCTCTCATTAAAATTTTGAGGCTGTCACTTGGCAACTCAGAGTTTCAGCTCCCCCCATGAGTTTTTGATGGGATTAAGGTCTGGAGACTGGCCAGACCACTACATGAGCTTAATGTGCTTCTTTTTGAGCCACTCCTTTGTTGCCTTGGCTGTATGTTTTGGGTCATTGTCATGCTGGAAGGCCCAGCCACAACCCATCCTGGTGGAGGAAAGGAGGTTGTCATTGAGGATACATGGATCCATCCATTCTCCCATTTATAATGTGAAGTAGACCTGTGTCTTTTGCAGAGAAACACCCCAAAAACATAATGTTAAAAACACCTCCATGCATGACAGTGGGGGGTCATGGTCAGCATTTCCCTTCCTAAAAACATGGCAATTTGAGTGATCAAGGATACCACACAACATGAGATTTTGCATGGAGCCAGAGATTGATGTCGATTGACAGTCATTATGTATTTCTTCCATTTTCTTATTGTTGCACCAACAGTTGTCTCCTTCTCGCCCAGCATCTTACTAATGGTTTTGTAGCCCATTCTAGCCTTGTGCAGGTCTATGATCTTGTCCCTAACATCCTTAGACAGCTCTTTGGTCCTGCCCATGTTGTAGAGGTTAGAGTCCGACTGATCAATTGTCTGTGGACAGGAGTCTTTTATACAGGTGACAATTTAAAACAGTTGTCTTTAATGATAAATGGACTGAACTTTGATGCAATGAATTGTTTAGAAGGGTCTAACTGGTCTGGAGGCACCAAAACTCTTGATGATTGGTAGGGGATCAAATACTTCTTTCTCTCTGCAACACTGTAAGCCCTAATAAGTTCACAGAACTTAAAATTTATTTTGTAACAAATTACACAAAAATATTTTTGTGATGTTTTTAAATATTTTCAGTTTACATAAAATAAAAATTACATGTGCAGTTGCCTTAAATTATCCCAACGTTATCTTATAAATATTGATTTTTCTCAACTTATGATTAGGGAGTAGTTCACTCAAAACTTTCAATATTTTCAACTCATATAATGCTGGAAATACACTCAAATTTTTCTGTTTTCAACTCATAACAGTGCACATGCGTCAAGCACAATATCATAGCATGACACCTCACAGCTACAGAGAGAGGTTTAGCTCTTGTTGTAGTTCATGACTTCACCACCAGGTGGGAGTTTTGAAGAACCTTTATTGGATTCTTCTTCATGAACAACACA